GTACATTGTAGCCTCCCAAGTAATATATTTCCTTCCTTCCTGGTGTGCATGAGAAATGCTTGATTGCACTGCTCCTTTTTGGGTCTTCATGAGAGAAACCTTCCACCACAACTTCACTTACACAGCCTCTACTGAACCTCAGAGCCTCTGCCCTTAATGTACCACTTCTTTGCTATCCTGTGTCCTTTAGCAGCCAATAAAGATAAAAAAATTTTAACTGATCAACATTTCTGTTCTCTTATTGTTTCTAGAGGTTTTTTGTGAAGGGCGCAAGCTTATAGGCCACATTCCCATGAGTTTCATCAGTGGGTACTTTGTGGGAAAGTTTGCAGTCCTTTGGGATGAATGACAGGTTCATGACTTCCCTTGAATACCCATCAACTTTTCCTACTGTTTTGGCTATTTTACAGCAGACTGCTGCAAGTGTATGTTCATTAAACGTTCTACATTATCTTCTGATCATGTGTGTTTGCACTGTACTCTAATGTCTGAAAACTAGTACTCATGAAAAGTGCTGATTGACTGTCCTAGAGACTGAAGTTCTCTCGTTATTCAGAGAATGGTTACAGCACAAAGAGCAGCAGTTCACACTTACCCACACCGCCCTGCCAATGTGCCTCATCCTTCAATTGATTGGATCATCTATTAGGTCAGGAGGCTGATTCAATCTTCGTGTCTAATTCAAGGAGTTCAGCTGTATGACACAGGTCATGTGTCCACTGTGTCAATGACTGTGAGATAATGGAGACATGCTAAGTTATCTGCCATGAAGCATTGATACTTATTTGGCAGGTATGCACAGTAAAGCAAAGAGCATACTTCCTTAGCTAAACATCACAATATAATGCAGATAATGCAATGTATGGTTCCGAGGCAAGGACTCCCATTGGTACTTATCGTACATATCACCGTATTCATACATTCCAAGGCCAGAAGGGACCACTGTGATCATCTAGTGTGACCTCCTGTGTAACACTCCATAGAACTTCCTCCAAATAATTCCTAGAGCAGATCTTTTAGAAAAAAAAAAATTCCAATTTTGATTTTAAAATGGTCAGTGATGGAGAATCCACCATGACCCTTAGTAAGTTGTTTCAGTGGTTAAATACTCTGTCTCTTAAAAATGTATGCTTTATTTCCAGTCTAAATTTGTCTAGCTTCAACTTCCAGCCGTTGCTGGAGATCTTCTACATATGCTTTGTTGGAAGATATTAGGGATATTCCTCTATTCTTTCTTTGCACTTCTGTATGGGGCTGGTCTGGAGCCGAGCTCTGCCATGTATACAGATTATGGAGCACCGTTGGTTCCTTGTCCACAGCTACTTACCCCTGTCCCAATGTAGAGACATCATTGTGGTTCTGCTGCCTTGCGGACTCTGTGCTAGTGTCTTGATCTCACTAGCTAATGGGGATATGTTTCCACAATACTTAATAGGGATATCCTTCTTGGCTAACAATCTCCACAAGTGGAAATCTCTAAAAGTCTCTTATATTTGGACTTCTGTAAAGATAAGAAACCTCTCTAGAGCTTCATTCGCCCAACTCTCAGAGACAGAGTTGGAAACTCACACAAGTTTAGGTTGGGAAAAAAAAAAAGATTATTCAAAGCTCATGTGCTTCATAATCCCCCTAAAGCATGTAGATTGACTGCCTCATCAGAATGGCTCTAAATTCTACTTTGCTAGCAAGCACTCTTGGTCGTACGCTTGAGGCCAGTGGATCCAAGGCTAGTTATCTAGAGACTGTGTATCACTCCAATTACAGGTTAGTAATTTCCCTCGCAGTCACTAGGGAGTTCCACATGAATGAAAAGGAATTCCATACCCCACAGTTCTTCATTATGTACTACTCTGTTTGTACCACAAGGAAGTAAGAATAATATGGATTTCTTTTCCCCCTTTTATTTATTTATTTTTTGGGGGGGTCTGCCAAGGATGTTACAGTTTTAAAGCAGCTGCTTTAACTGTGACTATTTCTGTTCAAGGGTGACTGATGTACTTTGTAACGCCATTGAACAGCCTACAAGCTATCTTCCCCTACTGTATAGAAGTGATAGTTATGTTTTCTAATCAGAGCCTGCTGTCTGACTTGTTTATGCTTCATTTCTCACCATCAAACTTAGAAACACAAGAAAACATGTAAACATATACACTGGTGTGTGTTTATGTACACATGTACTGTACCGAATATATAAAGTGATGCATGGCTATCCATTTGTGTTGCTGTTATCTAGTGACACGGCATTGAAATTAGCAGCATTTCATGATATACTTGATATATTCAGCATTGCAGATATGTCTAGTACATTGCACAGGAGTCACACCATTAACGGATGGATTGTTGGTTCACCGTACAGTAGAATTTTTCCTTTTTATCTTATGGCTGCTACACTCTGGCCAGAAGAAACCGTCACCTAAGAATTGGAATCTGATCACTCACTCAAACTAAAGACTTGCGGAAGGTAGCCAGGGTCAGGAATAATTCCACAATGTTCCCTTCACAGTTTCTTTTGACTTTTTTGTTTTAGGGTTTGGGGGGTTTCCCTCCCATTATGCAAGAAGCAAAGACTTGGCACCTTAAATCTGAGGATCCCTGAGATCTGCTGGAGGGGATATTGTGTACCAGCCTCTTCCTCTGTATCATCTTCAGGGCCTTATGCTGCTCCCTCTATTTCCCTGTTTCACCTTATTGGAGCCAGCAAGAGCTCTTGCCAGCTGCTGCCTCTGGAATCCTGCATGAAAGGGTATTCTACATCAGTAATGGGGCTCCAGTGAACAGTCAATACGGTATCACTTAATTCCTTTATGAAGTAGTGGTGAAACATTTTAAGGAATCTTTAAAAATTTCCATTGATATGAATTGGGCATCTATGTAAACTGTTCTGAAGATGATTATTGCAGGCATCATGAATATCAAGACAGAAAGTCCAGTCCTCAAACCGGAGATGAAGGGAACAGGAGGAAATTTCCACAGCTTCTCTTTAGTTGATTTCTTAATTTTTGTCCTGGGCTTTTTCAGTTTTGTGTTAATCTGTGAAACTCCTGGAAAAAATAAAGAATTCACCTTTATTCCCTCCCCACAAAATAGCCAACCAGTGGGGGATCTCCTGTTCCTTCTGTCTCTGGATGTAGCTCTGATCTTCCTCTTGTTATATATATATATCATCAGTCTGACAATATGGCTGCTTCTTTCTTCATGCTGGCATTTTACAGAAGTACCTCTTGTGATTCTGTCACTTCACATGGGATCAGGTGACTGGAAAAGATTATATTCCATTGCAGTTTTCGTTTAGCAGATGCTTTTTAGAGAAGAGTACTATCCTTAACTTGTTAGTGTGAAGTGGGTATCCTCAATTAATACACTAATCAGTTTTCTAATTAATTCCCTATGGTTTTCTTTCATTTTTGCTGGCACATTGAAGCCTGAGAGCAATTCTGTAAACTCAGTGATTCAATTCCAAAAGGAGAAGTGGTGAATTTCATGGCTGAGGGTTAAAGGCTCTAAAAAATGAGAGAATAAGCATGTACTGGTGCTGGAAATGGAGTGGCAGCTGTCATAGATTTACAGGAGTCAATAGAAACAAGACTCCCCAACAACTGGGACTGAAGGGATTTTTCCCTTGTGGATGATGTTGAAGTTTCAGGAATAGAAAGTGGGGGATGCAATGGAGATTCCATTCTTTAAAAATTGCTAGAAACATGGACTATACAGTGTGTCCTGCAATACACAGCACTTGTGATAGTATCATGTCAATGGTAACATACCCAACTGAAATACATGTGTGCACCTGTCTATTTGCTGCAAAGGTGAGTCCCAGCATTACAGATCTGAAACACATACTCTGGTATGAAAACTTTCCACTGTACTATTGTATGCAAATGCTATGGCAGGATGAATAATAAAATGTCGACATTCCTTATTATGGATTTATGTGGCAATCCATTATTCTTCTTTGTTTCTGATAGGACCCCTAATGTAATAGATACTGTGCAAATACAAGAGGAGGCACTGTCTCTGCTTTTTAAAAATTGTTTTAGATGTTTGCCCATGTAAGGACTCCTAGTAGGTCTTTCTGATCATGCTCCCTAACCACTTTCATGGGGCTAGTTGAGTATTTGCTTCTAAACCTAATACATCAGATCAGCCCTTGGAAGTTTGGCAATAGTCCTTGTTCAGTCCACTAATTTAATTCTTCAATAAATCAGTAGGAATAAACAATGATAATGGAGTATCTTGATTGAAGTAGTTTAGATTATGAAGGCTATAGTGAAAACTGAGCCATCCCTCCATTCTCCTCTATCCTATAAAATTAAAACAAAGGTTTACTTGGTTCTAAATAGCAGTTGTGAAACCGATCAGAGCCTTGTAAACAGAAACAGCAACAGAGGTGCTAGAATTCTGTCTGCAAGCTAAGGAAGACAACACTGCAACAGTTTACAATTGTTTCACATTTGGAAATTTATCTCTCAGTCAAAGACTAGAAAATAATAATTATTTTTACAGGAAAGCTTAAGGCCAGAATATACACTAGGCACTGCTGGAGAGGAGCCACTATGAACTGCTATGTTAAATATGTTCAAATACCGTTTGTTTGTTTTTTCCTCCACAAAGTAGGTATTTAATCCAATTTACATCATTGCCTGTGTAGGTCTTTATGTAGTCATGTCACACAGTAAGAGTTAAAATATGGATAATGTAGATATACATAGATAACTGTTTATGAGAAAAATTACTCTGTATGCTTATGTAGGCAGTATTTATTATTTATATTGTGATTGTCCTGAAGGCCTCAACAAGTTTGAAGCCCCACTGTGGCACTGTACATACACAGTAAATGATAGTCCCTACTCAAAAAGCTTACAGCTTTCAAACATTAATAACTTTTTTGTATCCAAGTTCACTTCATAGCTAACAAGAAGCATTCTGCTGTCTGCTTAGTGCTGAAATTTGACAAACAAAATAAGCGGTGGTTTTTTGTATTTTTTTCAAATCCTCTCCAGTCCCAGACAACATCATTTTAAAGTTACTGACAGATCGTCTCAACAGATTAGACTGCATGACTGACGGTTGGGTGCTACATGGTTTCCCAAGAGATTTAGATCAGGCAGAACAGATGGTAAAAGCAGGAATTATTCCAAACAGGTAAGACTTTAAAAAATGTTTTTAATAACAATATGTATTATTCTTGTTTATTTGTTATTCTTACCTACTTTAATCAAATCTGAGAGATAAAAAGGTCTTATTCTCGTAGAAGCATTTGATTCCTTTTATCCATTTTTTCTTGGCTCATTGAAGAGTCAGTTTTTGTATGGGTAAACACTCTTTTTTTTTTTTTTGATCCACTTTTTTTGATTGAGCCAGGAGTCTAAGGGTGGGATTTTCAAAAGAACTCAGTGTTGGCCTCACTCAGGTCCCACTGAAGTCAATAGTAGTTTTACCATTGATTTCAGTGGGAGCAGAGTTAGGCCAATGATGAGGGCTTCAGAAAATCCCACCCTGCAAGTTTCGAGAAGACTTATACTTAGAACTAGGTGCATCATTATTATTCTGAGGACTTTAAACAACAGAGTCTGGCTGTTTATGCTAGTTATAACAGACTAGCAGACTCTAGGACCTTGTACAGGAATGAGGGCTCCCCTTTTGAATCATCCCAATGACAGGTGCTTGAACCCTGCATAAAGATGCAGGATAAATACTGTGGAGTCATAGTGACAGATGAATGTTGTTAACTCCAGCCAGAGATATAAAAAGGGTTTAGAGCTTCTCTGTTAGAGAGAGAGAGGCTAGAACAGAGATGTCCTGCAGGGAAAACCTAGGGACAGCCAAACTTGGGGAGCAAGCTGAGGTTGAGATTTGTTTTGTGGTGGTTTATCATTAAAGCCAGACCCCAAGAAGGGGTTAAATTTGGACTATATGCAGTGCATATATTTTGTTAGAGCTGGGTGCAAATTACAGCTGCTTACATCTGTGTATGTGTGATCTCCTAGAATTATATTGGTATGGCTGGGACCTCACTATGAGATCAGTGTCTTTTTGTTTTATGCGGAATAATGAAAGACAATGTGATGTTTGTATTTGATTTTAGCTTATTAAAAGAATGTTCAGGAATGTAGCGTGAGGGACTGAGTTCTTGGGGCAGAAACTACTCAAACATCATAAAAGAACTGTTATAACCTCTTGAGAAAATAATCTATGGCACTCTCTGCGCCTGGTCCACAGAGGGTGGGAGTCTGTTACAGCTCTCAGCTAGAGTTCCTGGCTATTTAGCTCAAGTTGTTAAGATTCCTGCTTTCATCTCAGGAGGTCCCTGATTCCAGTACTTGGGTGTTGACCAAGATGGTGGCCATCACAAAAGCACACGTTAGAAATTCTTAGCTCCTAGACTTCCAGAGCTAACCTTGAAAAAGGCAATTCACATGCAAAAATGTTTAACACAACACTGAACTGGCAAAATCTCTCCTTCCCCCAGCTGTTTTTCCATGTGACTGCTACCCAAGGCTACAGTGGAAGGAGGTGAAAGGGTAGGATTGAGTTGGGAGAGGAGGTATTGCGAATATGGCAAGGAAAGAGAAGGGAGTGTGTTGTTTTTGTATAAAGTCTTTGGTATAGAAAAACTATTGAAAACAAATATTTTTAAAAGAGAAACCAGTTTCCTGATGACTTGAGATAAAGAGGAGAAGATGCTTAAACCCGTGTCAGATTAGGTTAAATAATAGCATTTCCTGGAAGGTGCATTCATAAACAAAAAAAATTAAGGGACTGAGTATACATGACTGGGTATACATGACCATAAGTAAGGCTACAATTTAGTCATGAGTATTTTTAGTAAAAGTCATGGGCAATAAACAAAAATTCACGGGCCATGACCTGTGCATGGCTTTTACTATATACCCCTGACTAAATCTTAGCTGGCGGGTGGGACGTGGTGGTACTGTTCTTGGGGGCCAGGGGAGGGGGCGGGCTCCACTTTGGGGGGGGCAAGGGGACCCCTGCTCTGGGGCAGGGACTGGTGGCCAGCGTCACCAACTGCGGGGGCCACTGAGCAGCGGCTGCTCCAGCTGACCCTGGGGCCGCCCACCCACCGGTGCTCCCGTCGCCCCCAGGATTGCTACTCAGATGGACCCCAGGGCCAACTGCACAGGCCACTGCTCGGGCGGTCCCCAGGGCCAACTGCCCGGGGCTGCCCCATGCCGCTGCTCTGGCCACCCCCAGAATGCTGCCTTGGGGCCACTCCAGCAGCACCTGGCTACAGAGCCATTCTGGCAGCAGCAGGTGTGGCTGTCCCTGGGGCCACCTGGGCCAGCTGCTTGGGCGGCCCTGGAGTCAGCCACACTGGCTGCTGCAGAAGTCACAGAGGTAGTGGAAAGTCATGGAATCCATGACTTCCACGATCTCTGTGACAGATACAGAGCCCTACTCATAAATAGGTATATGCATGTGAATATTCCCATTGAATTCACTGTGCATGTTTGCAGAATCAGGGCATAATAATGCACATAACAGTGGCTGGTGTATAAAGGCTTAGATGTGAAAATTCCACTCTGATCCATGCACTCAATTCCCATCGGCTTTAATAGAAGCTGTATGTATGTATTTCAGTACAGACTTTGGCCCTTTACTGTTTTACACAGAGGTTGAAGTAAGGGACGAAAACAGATATCATGCTAACCTGATTGATTCTGGAGTTGATTTTTTTCCATGAAACTGAAGTACCAGGTATATACAGAAAGAAAGAGAGAGATTATAAACAAAGGACATATAGCAATACGGAATAGAAGGGCTGTAATTTAGTTTCTCTTGTGATGCTAGTTATAAAACACTATCTGTGGTGGTGGTGTTTTTGACATCAGTAGAAAATCCTGATAGAATTATAGCCTTGAAATCAATCTGGGAATAGAATGCAGAAATCTATAAATCAGACACAAAACAACCTACAAAGTCTCATTTTAGGAGGGCTCTGTAGATGAAATTAAATTAAAATAAATTTACATATATATCAAGTTTATTATTAAAATCTAGTCACATCAGTAAACAAAATTATTTGTGAAAGGGTACGTTACTCTGTATTTTGAACTCAAAGTAGACCTCTTTGGCTGATCGGAAAACAGAGTTATTGTCTCGTTGTCAAGTCATAAATCTGTTCCTTAGAGCTAATAAATGGTTAGTGTTCAAATACTATGTTTTATCAGACTCCCACCTCATAAACCTAGTGCACATAATACTAAATTATACACCATTGAGCGGGATCAGTCTCCTGACTCCTCTGTCTTATGGAAAGAGAAACAAACCTAGTAATTGATGGAAAAAAAGAAAGAAAATAAAGTTATTTGAAAACAAACAAAATGGGCTATAAAGTTAGTTAAAATGTAATAATAAAAAAAGGGCATACAGCATCAGCCACTGCATCCAAAGACCTGCCCAAGAACAATGAGGAAAATAATTCATTTTCACATTGCAAATCTAAGGTATTAGATTTTTTTTTTAAAATTAGTATTAGAGCAAGACTAGCCTGCAGACTGGTGCAGGGACACCTGTATTCTATCAGACAGAAATGTCCTCCTGTAGCACCAGTCTTTCTGTACTCTGAGAACACATGCGTTGCCTTCTACAGTCCTCCTTATGATGCAGTTATAGCATAAGTGGACAGGATCCTAATCATGTTGAACTGTGGCAGCCTTTAGGGCAAATAAGAAGCTGAATCTATTAGTGGTCTCTCAGCCTCCTAGTAAAGGAAGACTGTTAACCCCTTCGTGTCTGCAGTAAATGAGAGTCCAAATATAGTTACAGGTTAGCATCAGATGCTCAGGACTGCTGATGTTAAGGGTTCAGTGTAGTCCTTTATCAAAGCAGGTGCAAATGTCAGTTCTAGCTCTTGTTCTTTTATTACTAGAGCTAAAATAGAAAGTAGATTGTACCGCTCTGGATGTTTCTAAGATACAGTAAAACCTCTATAAAAATATGCTGTTCCACCCTACATATACAAGTATGGACTAGGTCGAGGGGCAAATTGTTCTTCAAACAATCTAGAGAAAACCACAGGCCAAATGAAAATATCAAGTTTGGATTTTTCTACAAAAGTACACATTGAGTAAAACAGAGCTACAGCTCTTTGCCAAACTTACAGCTGAAATAAAGTTCACCAGCAACAACCTAGGCTATTACTATTATACATCTCCTGTTATTAACTTCAGCTCCCAACTGGTGCACAGCTCGTCTCAGTCGATTCTGAATATAATGACAATGATCACAGTCACATCAACTGAGTGTATGAGAGCACATTTGTCTACAAACTGACTGCATTTGTCTGTGCTTGCTAAGGAATAGAACTTCCCATTTCACTGAAGATGCACTGAAAAATTGCTTTGTGTCATGAATATCATATATTGATTCAGCGTATTTGGACTCAAAAAGAAGTAGCATAAGACCGTTTAGCTCAAGGCCCAATAAGCCTGTATTATATGCCTGTTATCAATGCCTCTTCCCCAACCCCTCAAAACTGGTAAAACAACCCCTCTTTTTGTTACCTTATTGTTATTGATCATACTGTAAATATTGAGCTGGTAAGTCAAAACCCCTGGATTCTACCATTCATAACTTTCCTAATAATTCATTTTTAGACTATATCTTTCCATGCGTGGACTCAATCCGAAATTATCTGTTTTTATTTATTTAAGTTTGAGTATAATCCATAACCCATTTGATTTATCTGAGCAAGAGGAAACAAATTTTCTGTATTAAACACCACACTATTTTTATGCCCGGATAACTAAAATATGACTCCTGCTATAGTTCCTATTGGCATGTTAGCATCCTTCATTAAAGACATGGCTTCCATTTCATTTCTGCTATGGGCTCTGTAGGAAGCATGCAGGCCAAGCCAGGTGTAGGGATGCTCTAAATCATGCATCTTCTAGATTCCCTGGCCATGCCCAGCTCCCTAGTCTGGGCTGCTCACTTTTTGTGAGCTCTAGCTCTTTGTAAGTCCCTGAGAGAAAGGAAGTTGTGACCACCTTGTGCCACTGCAGCCTCCCTCTAGTGGACTTTCTACCACTGGTGGTCCTGTGGTCTGATTTATGTTGGCAGTTTGTTAAAGTGCCTGAGAATGTGTGTACCTTGATACAATCTCTCTCTCTCTAATGTGT